TTTTTTTTTTTTTTTAAAGAATGCTCATTACGGGTTACTGGATTCTAGTTCTACAGAGCGGAAAGATACTTGGAAGCAGTCACTCACACTGCCATCTTCCTTCTGTTTCTGTTTCTTGCACTGGCATTGAGAGGGCAAGAAGCAGGGCACCTCCGACTCCGCACAGATTGATTTGGCCAAAGGTCAAGCCTCAGTGTAGCAGCAAAGCTAGGGTTTCAACTTGTATCTGTTTTGATTCTTATGTCTATTTCTCAACAGAATAAAGACTGGAAAGGAACCATGTATTGTATGACTCCATTTGTATGACATGGCCAGATTAGAAAAACCCATAAAGCCGAGGATTTAGCTCAGTGGTTCTAGTGCCTGCCTCGCGAGCACAAGGACCTGAGTTCGATCCCCAGTACCAAAAAAAAAAGAAAGAAAGAAAAACCCATAAAAATATGAGGTAAATTAGTGGTTGCCTAGGCTGAGGTAGGGGTGAATGGGGAGCGAATGAAAATGGGTAGTTTCTTTCTAGGACAATGGAAATGTTCTGAAATTAGGTGACAGTGATGGTCACACAATTCTGAATACACTGAAATCCACCAAATTCTATACCTTAAAAGGATGAATTTATGATATATGAATTATATCCCAATAAAGCTGATATATATTTGAAAAGGATTTAAGGATCTTACTTACTGATATAATACTTGTTAAAATATGCACAGAACCATACACTCATAATTTAATGAACTGTCAAAAAGCAACTATAAACTGAGCCACCATCTAGATCAATAAATAAAACATGGCCAGTGAGCCAGAGTCTTTCCTCTGTCTGCCTTCCAGTCTGAGGACTTTCACCACTGTGTGCCTTCACTCTCCTTTGGGATCTAGGGATGATCATCTTGGACATAGTCATCATGATTATAAGTGACAAATATTTTCTACTCTATAGCTTGCCTTTGCACTGTCTTAATGCTATCTTTTTTAGGGGTACTGTGGATTAAACTCATGTCCTTCTGCTTGTGAGGCAGGTGCCAGAACCACTAAGCTAAATCTCTGGCCCATTAATGCTATCTTTTGATGAACGGGTGTTCTTTTGTTTTGTTTTGTTTTTTGGTACTGGGGATCAAACTAGGGACCTTGTGCTTGAAAGGCAGACAGGCAGCAGAATCACTGAGCTAAATACCCAACCCAATGAAAAGGGGGTCTTAATTTTAATACAAATAAAGTAATTCATTTTTATGATTACTATTTTCTATATCCTTTCTCTAATCATATGAATAATTTAACTGACTCCCTGAAACATTCTCATTGAACATACATTGTTTACTTAGATCTATAAATTTTCCTTTCTTTTGTTTTTTTCTACTGATAAAATTTTAAAAAGAAAATTCAGTTGATATATATTATTTGCCAGATTACAAACAATAAATTTACTATCTAAATAAAGCTAATTCAGAACACAGTAAATCAAGACATTCACATTTTTATAGAGACCTTAGTATTTGATTAAGGGTGATTGAATTGTCATCAGAAAATTTATAGTACACTTCCATTTACCTAGAATCAAAACTGTTGTAACTTAGCTACTTTTCTTTTAAGGGCCTTCACACCAAGCTAGAACCCCAGCCTTTTTTCTATATTTTATTTTGAGACAGAGTCTCACTAAGTTGCCCAGCCTGGATTTAAATTTGAATTAATCCTGCCTTAGCCTCCCAGAGTCTTAGGATTAGAGGAGTCTGACACCATGCCCAGCTAAGCTATTAGTTTTAAATAGTATTGTATAGCACCCATGTTCAAAATATGTGCTTAAGGAATTATAAGGTCTCCCAGAAATTACATTACATTCAAAAGTTATGTTAATCTGCAAATAATAAAAATTTAAAACTAGCAATTATGGTAGCTGTGATTATTTTTAGGTTATTTAAATAACCAAAATATTTCCATATTCTCTGATTTCCATTCTCTCATGAACCTAGCTGTATGTGGCTTTATTCTAGAAGAATGCTTTCTCATACTCAAAAATCTTGTTTTTGTATAGAAGAGTATTGTTTCCTGTTTCATATAAATTTTACTTATAAATTCAATTTGTACTGATTATTTGGATTAAACTGCAGATTCAACAGGATTAATTACTAGTTAGCACTTTTTATAGTACCTTAGTAGGCACACAAACATTCACAAATAGGCACAAATCTAACCAGTAAAATGAATATGCTCCATCTCCTAACACAACAATTTCTATCATCTGATCTTTAAAATTCACTGCATATATGTTCTCCTCAGCAACAAAGTTAATTTCCATTTAGGACTTGTAAATACTTACTGTCTCTCCTTTCAGGCTCATTTTTGTCAAGGCCATAAACTTCAGATGGATCCAGTTGCCACTGTAAGAGGGTACAAATATTTAATTTATATATTTTTAAAGGATTTAATGAATACCATTTCAGCACTCTGCCTTTAAAGATCAAAACAGCTTTAAAAAATACAAGAAAATGGAGTTGGCGTATCCATGTAAACAAAATCCTAATAAGGCCATCCTAAATGACCCTGAATGATATGGCTTCCGGAGCTAATACTCCTCCTAGAGAAGCATGGGACCTTAGTAATCCATACGTTCATTTTGTGGTGAAGAAAATGCAAAGTTTAGAGAACTGCTGTGACCTGATCCAGGTTATACAGAAGTCAGTGTTGGAATTAGAATCTGAGCTTGCTCATGCCCAGTACCACAAAAATTTTTAGCACATTATAGCCTATCTCTATGTTCTGTCAAACTTTGCAGTAACTAAAGAAGGCCTTGGTATTAAAGAATAAAAATATGATCAATGTTATCTTGCTATTTAATATAATTACAGAAAATGGATTTACATCATATGACTATATTATATTATCATTTCACATATCATACATCATACATCTCTTATGGTTGTAGCATTCCATCTCAACCACCCAGAAAGAAATGGGAATCTGAAGGTTCTGATTTTTGTTGTGGTTGTTACCAGGGGTCGATCTCAGGACCTTGTACTTGTGAGGCAGGTGGAGGAATCACTGAACTAAATCCCCAGCCCAAAAACTTAAAAACAATTTTTTTTTGGTACCAGGGAACTAACTCAGGACCTTGCACTTGTGAGGCAGGCAGTGGAACCACTGAGCTAACTCCCCAGCCTGAAGATTCTGATATTACAAAGACTGGAGCAGTGTAGGGGTCCTCAGTGTCCCTAGCACAGCTCTTCCTTCTTTTCTCACTTGGCTGGAGTCTCCATCAGAACCACAAATGACTTGACAAAAAGGCTGTACTGGCCCACTGTCTCCAGAAAAATACAGTGAAGTACTAATAACCTGTGAGTCTCTTCCATGAGCATCAATTATTTAATCAGATGAACTAGTTAACATCTTGAGGTGGGCTGAGATACAAGACAAACATGTACCATGCATGAAAAGTGCTTAGACTTTTGGCCATTTTTAGAAATGGTATGGGCTAGAGTTAGTACCAAGAAAGGACTTATAAGGGGTGGGAAGTTATATACGAAAAAATTTTAAAAAGAGGTATGTTTTCAAACATGGTGTAGTGTACCACTAAAATCTATTGATTTGGACAGAGAAAGTAAAAACAAATGACTCAAACTTCACATTTAAGAATATTCATCAGAAATGGAACCAATAACAAATGCTGGTGAGGCTATGAGGAAAAAAGAAACCTTCTCTATTGTTCTGGATCAGAAGTTCATCATAATCTGGAATCTTTTTTTTTTTTGGTTCCAGGGATTGAACTTGGGCCCTTGCACTTGCAAGGCAGGCAGTGCAACCACTGAGCCAAATCCCCAGCCCTTAACCTTCTCTATTGTTGGTAGGAGTACAAATTGGTAAATCACTAGAAATCAGTATGGAGATTCCCCAAAAAACTAAAACTAGAGGTTTCATTTGACTCAGCTATGTCTTTTCTAGGAATCTTCCCAAAAGAGTTAAAAGCATCATACAACAGTGATACATGCATACCCATATTTACAGCACCACAATTTATAATAGCTAAATCTTGGGAAAAGCCCATATGCCCATCAATGTATGAATGGATAAAGAAAATGTGGTATTTATATACAATGGAGTACTACTTTGCTACAAAGAAGGATAAATGTGAGTCATTTACAGGTAAATGGATGTACCTTGAGACCATAATGTTACGTGAAATAAATCAGACACACAAGTTTACACACTGCATTATTTCTCTTGTGTGAGAAATGGGCAAATAAGGAGCAAAACAGTGGCTAGATACTGGAAAGTAGGAAGCACATGTTCAAATGGAAAGAATAAGGGAGGGGAAGAGAGGAAAGGGAAGAAAGGAAAAAGGGATTTAAAAAAGAATAGAAGGGAAAAATGGAAACAAAGCTTTTGTATATGGGAAGGGGAAGAAGGGCTGAAGGGAGGAGAGGGGAATGGGGAAAAAAAGAATAATAATTAAGATATATTTTATATATGTACAAATTCACTATGGCGAATGTGATCATTATGTATGGAAAATATGTACTAATAAAAAAATTAAAAAATAAATGGAGGGAGTGGAAAGGGAATGGATAAAGAATCGAGATGTGTTATGTACATGTAGCAACTCCCCACAAAGAATGCAATCATTATGTGATTCAAACATGTACTATTTAAAACAAGTATCAAATTGACTGACATGCCTATGCTAGTTAGAACAAATACTAATTCAGATTAATTACTGATATTTATAAAATCAGGCAGTTAGCTAACTACTGTACATACTATTTCAAGCCAGGCCAGATGACAGAAAACATGAAGGACTGAAGAACTACTCTTTATTACAAGAAGAGACGAAAAGGAGGTGGATTGTCAACTTGATTGACTTAAGAGCTCCCCAAGGGATTGGTAGAGCATACTTCTGGAGTCTGGGTGGTTCATGGAGGTCTCTCTAGTCCCTCCTCTCTTCTCTCAGGGACTTCTCCCCAATCTGCTTACTAGCCACCAAAAATTAAGCAGTTTTGTTCCATGTACTGAATCTTCTGAATCCATAAGCCAAATTATCTCTTCTTCTTTAAATTATAGGAGCTGGGTATTGTGTCCCAGTGATGGGAAATATAGAAAATTGGTACCAGAAATATGGGGGGGGGGTCACTGCTGTGACTGTACCTGACAATTAGAAGCCTTGGAACTGGTTTGAAGGTGGAGTTTGGAAAGCTTTGAAGAAACACTAGAATGCTATAATCAGAGCCTGATGGGTGACTCTAGTTGGAATTCAGAAGACTAGAATGCTGATAGGAGTGTAGTTAGTAAAGTCCATGCTCAGGAAGTTTCAGTTAGGAAGAAGGACTTTATTGAAAATTGGACTAGAGGCCATTTGTGCTACCTTGGCATGAAGTTATATACCTTTTTCCTTGTTCTAAGACTTTGCAGGTGACTTATATTAAGCTAATTTTTCTCATAAGTGTGTGTGTATGTGTGTGTGTGTGTGTGTGTGTGTGTGTGTTGTGTGTCTGTATTTTGGATGATCTCCAACTATTTTGGCCCCTATCTGCTCTCTAAATCTGAATGGAGTGAGGGAAAAGTGGTGAATCAGAGCTTTTCTTTTATCAGCCACCAGATGGCACCAAAAGGCCCACTGGCTCAAGATGCCAAAGTCAATGAACAGCTCTACAGAGATTTAAAATTCATAAGGCAAAGATCCTTAGCTAAACATGTAGTTAAGTAAATGTTTGCAAATACAAATAAATTCAATGATAATAGCTTGTTGATACTCTTTAAAAGGATAGAAATCAGTAATTTACAATACGTAGCGGAGTACTAAACAACATCATAGGAAGTACACTTAGAAAAATGTGCATCTAACTTACTGTAAATTTGCTAACACCTTCAAGTTCAGCAAACTTCATGTAAGAGATGTCTGCTTTCTTTCTTCCAACATCTACATCCCCTGCATAGATTTGTTTTATGCCTGCACCTTTAATTAAAGGTACACATTCATCACATGGGCACTTGGTCACAAAAATCATGCTTCTTTCTTCTGGCTTTATTTCTTGACACCTATAAAAAATTCATAAAATATTACAAAGTTAGTTACTGAAAGGGTAGATTATTTTTCAGAGTAATATTTAAACATTAAACTCTGAAAAAAGATATTTACAACATTATAAACAATATTCAGGCCTTATTGCTCAATTACTGAATTTCAAAACACGTAAAAATCTGACAATTATTATAACTAAAATGCATTTATTAATTTAAAGGCAATGACAGTTATGTTCAGTAACAGATTACAGAATAATTGCCAACAAAGAGACAGACAACAGAGAGGCAGAGAGCAGAGGAAGAAAAAAGGGGAGAGAGACAAGCAGAGAGGGGAGGAGAGGACAGACAAGCCTGGCATGGTGTTACACGACTATAATTCCAGTTGTAGGCTGAGGCAGGAAGATCACAAATTTAAGGACAGCATGGAGAATTTAGCAGGACTGTGTTTCAAAAATTTTTAAATGTTTAAAAAGGGCTGGGAATATAGCTCTGTGTTAGAGTGCTTGCTTAGCATTCTTGCTAGACTCAATAACTAGTGGGGAAGCAATGCTTCATAGGTATGGACTTCTTTATAATACTGGAAAATTGGGGTTAAAACTTCATGGGAGCAGGGACAAAGGGAAAAAATGAGAACCAAGACCTGTCAGGTGAAGGTACAGGATCCCAGTAATGAATGTAACTGTACTGTATGCCTAGATTGTACCAATAAACTCAATAAAAAGAAAAAAAATAGGAAAACAAAATTAGGAAAGGTCCACAGGTTTCTGGATTGAATTTCTGAGTCAATGACCTGGGGATCTATAAGCTGATAAAGAAAGGACTAGGAAAGACCTTTTTTTTTTTTTTTTTTTACAATTAACAGTGCCTATAAGAGTGGCACACAAAAATAAACTTTTCCACTTTTTGTTTAAAAAAAAAGTTATTCTCAGATCTTATTTCAGATTGCTTTAAAAGTTTTATTAAATATCCCAAAATTATACTGAAGCGTTTTTTCTTCAATTATGTTAAATCTGTAGACTAATGAGAGAATTGCTCACTTTAAACATGTTTTCTTGCCCTCCAGACATATGGCATCTCTGTAAATTTAGGATATTTATATTGGTTATTGTACCATGTAGTTCTCTTCAGGTAGTTCTTGCTTAGTGATCATTTTAGATAATTTATATTTGTATTGATATACACAGGCATTATTTTGGTATCTTCCTGACTTTAAAAGATCTCACCTACTTTAGGAGCTCAGCTATCATGTAGTGTTTCCAAACTGCCTTGAACTCAGTGAAATTAAAAATAAACTCTTGCTGTGTCACAAAACAAACAAACAAACAAACAAATTTCTTGGGAGCTAATAATGTCTGATTAGACATGAAATCCTCACTGCAGCCAAAGGACCTAGCCCTAATTGGTACCTAAAGGACATTCAATGATTATTAAATTAGTGAATTCATAATAAATCTGTTTTTTTCTTTTTTTTTGAATTTTTTTTCAGCTTTAATTGAGTTTATTGGTACATTTTAGGGATACGGTACAGTTACATTCATTGTTGGGATCTTGTACCTCTACATGACAAGTCTTGGTTCTCATTTTTTCCCCTTGTTTCTGCCCTCCCTTCACCCCCTTCCCCCGCCATCTACAACCACTTTATTTCCATCTTTTCATTAAGTGAATGTTCTTTTTTTTTTTTTTTTTTTTTTTTTGGTACCGGGGATTGAACTCGGGTCCTTGAGTTTGCAAGGCAGGCCACTGAACCGCTGAGCTAAATCCCTGGCCCTAAATATGTTTTGATTTATACTTATCCTTCCTTATTATAGAATTTTATTTAACATGTTTATATGTGACATACTCATACTTCTGTACAAAAAGAAGCAAGTTAACTTGCATGAAAGAAGACAAAGATAGAGAGAATTTTACATGTAAAATTTTACATGTGGAGAGTGGTTTAGGATGAAGGAATGCTCTTATTTGAGGATGCAGAGATTGTAATTCCAGGTTCTGTGATTTGTACTGCTCTGAATCAGCTGTCTTCAGTTCTCTGCCTTCCATATCCATTTCTCTAGTTGAGCTCTCATTATGTCCATTTGGTCTAGGGCACCAGAATTTTACATATCTACTCTGTTCAAACAATACACTGTCTACCTAAGCAGTCTATGAGCATGACTTTGTCTGTGTAATTCCATTTCCCCACCACCAACCGTGTGGCATCTACATCAAAGTCCTCTATCGTACAGTCCCAGCCTATCTATCCAGTGAGCTGCATTTACCATGTGTCCACAAGGCAGCTAACTGGGAAGTGCATGCTCCCAACACACCATGCATTTTCCTACTTCTAGACTATGGCTTATGTTAGAAGCAAGAATGGTCTTCCTTTCAAGGGACATCTCCAGTTGTCACATTATTAGCAATCCTTTAAAGTTCAGCACAAATGCCAGTTCTCCACATAGCCTTTCCCTTGCATTGTCTCCTCTTGACCACAGCAGCTCTGAAGGTCCTCAGCATGTGGTGCTTGCCTTTCCCTCAGAATCCATATGTTAGGTGGGTGTAGTCTGTGTCGCTGTTAAATCAGAAGATCCCCAAAGACAGGAGCCATGTCTTTTTTTTTTTTAATATTCATACTTGAGATTTTATTTTTTTTTCTCACTGAGTTTATTGGTACATTTTAGGTATACAGTACAATTACATTCATCATTGGGATCTTGCACCTTTAACATGACAGGTCTTGGTTCTTATTTTTTCCCCTTGTCCCTGCCCTCCCTTCACCCCCTCCTCCCCTCTCCATTTACAAATATTTTATTTCCATTATTTTCATTTTCTCATATTTTTTTTTCTTTTCACTTATTTCCTTTCCCCTACCCTTCCCACTTCCCCTACACCTTTAGGCCCTTTCTTCCTATTTCACATTGTCAATTATACCATTAGGATCTTATGTGCAATTATAGTTTTTCACACCAGAGAAACTATTCGGTATTTACACGTGTGACTTATTTATTTCACTTAAGAGCATATCCTCAATATGTATCCATTTTCTTATGAATGACTCTAATTTCTCCTTTATGGCTGAGGAGCATTCCATTTTATAGAAAAACCACAACTTTATCCAGTTCCCAACTGATGGGCAAATGGGCTGTTTCCAAATTTTAGCTATTACAAATTGTGCCGCTATAAACACTGGTGCACATATATCACTGTGATATGGTTTTTTTAATTCTTTTGGAAAGATACCCAGCAGAGGGATAGCTGGGTCAAATGGAACCTCTAATCCTAGTTCTTTGAGGTATCTCCACATTTATTTCCATAGTGGTTGCACCAGTCTGCACTCCCACCAACAATGTCTTATTTGTTTTTGTTTTTTAATCCCTAACCTCACCCCTTGAATAGTACCTGCTGAGAAGTCTTTGTAGTAGAGACCTAAAGTAACATTAGAAGGAGGTAATACCAGCTATAACCTCTAACAAAAGCTCTTCTAGAGGCTGGGGATTTAGCTCAGTGGTTTCGATGCCTGCTTTGCAAGTGCAAGGACCTGAGTTTGATCCCCAGTACCAAAGAACAAAACAAAACAAAAAAGCTCTTTTAAAGCAACCTGGCTGATAATAAAGCTTAATATTCATAAATATATGTTCTAGATTTAGAAAAAGAAGGTGATATCAACTTCCAGGTGTATGAAAGAGTGAGCAAGATTCTAAGATAACCTTTCAATAGTTTCATATTAGAGAGAGAGGGAAGACAAATAAAAAGACTTTCTCAATGTATTGAAAGGCCTGGAGAATCTATGACAATGGCCTCAGATCCCGTGCAGGACCAAATTTTGCCAAAATTATATTTCTAAAAACAGTATGGCTTAGAATTTGAAAAAAGGAAATAAATTACAACTAAAAGAAAAATAATTTCAACTTTTGTTACATTTTAAAGAAAATATATGTAAAAACTATACCTAAATGTCAAAGCATTCTGTTCCGCATGTATAATGTATCTGAACTTTCTTATTTCTCTGTCTTTCTGCTTGTCGTCCATGTGAGGGAAGTCAGCATATTCAGATCCAACAGGAAAGGCATTGTAACCACATCCTATGAAGTACATAGCACTAGTTCCATCACAACTTCTCTACAAAAGTAAGCAGAAAACTATGGTTAGTGTCAACATTCTGAAAAGGCACTTTGTAATTCTATTGCAGGGCAATGCTGGGGATTGAACAGAGTGACTTGCACATGTTAGGCAAGTACTGTGCTACTGAGTTACATGCCCAGCATCCCCCTACTTTTTCTTTTAATATTGAAATAGGATCTTGCTAATCTCAAACTTGTGATCCTCCTGCCTCTGCCTCCCAAGTAGCTGGGATTATACGCGTGTTCCTCCATACCTGGGTGCAATGTATTTTTAAGGCTTGCTGTCATACTTTGTATAATGAATATTCATTCCATTCCTATGACAAACCGAGCCATCAAAAATTACAGAATCAGATTCTCCTATTGCAGTGTGGCCTTGTCAGAGCTTATTTCCAAGAAAGCTAATCAACTCTCTAGTCTACAATTTTCAGGCTGTCTTTAGTTTTAGCAGTTAATCAAGTTACTATCTTGTTTAACTCACAGATTGGTTTACTTAATTTCTCTTTAAACAAGATATAAAATTCTGGAGCATAGAAACCATATTTTATACTTCTTTTCTATCCCTTTAGTCACATGCCAGATTGATATGCATAGCAGCTACTTAGTAAGTGACTGCTAATTTCTTATATGATGCTGCATAACTGGTCAACAAGACAGAAATTTTTAAAATATTTTGAACAATTTCTATTGTTGAGCTAAAACATGCTGTTGTGAATCATTTGGAAAATAAAAACACTTTCCTGTACTCTTCAATATTTATTGAGCCACAAATATAATTTTTTATTTTTTTAATTTCAGTGGCTCTTTATTTCTCTTAATGACATATTGCTAATATGAATGCTTTATCAACTAGCAGAATGACATTTTATAAATGATAAAGTATTTATAAGTTTGGAATATGCTATAAACCTTTTTAAATTTCAATCTATTATAATTACTAAAGTGATATTATCAACAAACTCATTACTATAGAAATGCAATGTGTTAAATAAAAAATTGTGCAATTTGCCAACAAAATTTCCAAATAAAATATTGCATTAGTAAACTTTTCTTTAGCATTTACCAAATATCAAACATCATACTAAGTTTAATATGCATTATTTCATTTACTGAATCCCTGAAACAAATTAGTAGTACTATTATTATCCCCATTTTATAGATAAGAAAACAGGCCACGAGAGATTAACTTGTTCAAGATCACAAAGCTAGTAAGTAACACTGCCAGGGTTCAAGCCCAGGTTACTTGCTTCCAAGCCCATATATCTTTGTTTTACCCTGCCACCTCCCTACACTGTTTTTTTTTGTTTTGTTTTGTTTAGATAAGGTCTTGCTTTATAGTTCAGACTGGTCTTGAACTCACTATATAACCCTGTCTCAGCTTCCCAAATGTTGGGATTACATGCATGACCACTACACCTGCGTGGCTTAACTGTTACTGAATTCTCCACAAAGTTGCAGTTAAAGAGTCTGGAGACTGGACACAATTTTAACTATGATAAGTGTCACAGATGGCTGGTACAGAATGCTACTGGAATTTCTGCAAGTGAAACTTATTTTAATAGGAGTTAGCAGTTGGGGAACAGATAAGTAGAGTTGAGAGGTGTTTTGAATTTGGTATCCACAGCACTAGATGATCGCTATATCCTGCAGAATCAGAGAGTGAAATGGTGACCACCGTGAAGGAGCTGGTTAGCAGAAAATATTATCTGATTTATTAATTAGGTTGAATTTGAAGAAGTTATAAAACACTGAAACAAATAGTTAAAGTACTTGCTCTATAGCCCACTGAAACAAAATTTAGGTTCATATTTCAGTCAGCTGTATATTACTTCATCTATTTTTTTCAGCATGGTTCCTAGAAAATTTAGTCATAAGCATGGCTCGCCTTTAATTTCTGCTGATTAGTGCTGTGTCAGGGTACTGCTGTGTACTGCCAAAGGGTAAAGTGCATGCTCTTCACATGGTCTACAATGTCCCTCATGGTCCAGGACAATTTTTTTTTTCTGGTACCGGGAATCAAACTCAGGACCTTTTGCTTGCCAGGAAGGCATGGCGTCACTGAGCTAAATCCCCAGCCCCCAGTGCAATTTTTGACCACTCTACTTGATATAGGACTCCGGACCCCAATATGCCATATCACATCCGTTTCCCATATTCTCTCTCTGGCCTTCTACTTTGGATGTTATCCTTCTAGCTTGCTCTGATGAATTCCTACTCATTCTTCAAGACTAACAGCCCTTTACCACCTCCTAGAATATGTCACTCATTTCTCCAAGGAAAGTAGGGGTCTTCCTCTACCTTCTCACAGTGCCAATTATAATTTCACTTATATTCTTTTTTTTGGACTGAGGATTGAACTCGGATCCTTGAGCTTACGAGGCAGGCAGCGGAACCACTGAGCTAAATCCCTGGCTATAATTTCACTTATAGATGAGTCTCTTTTTCACTTCTCTATTATATGGTAAGAGGCCATAAAAGGCAGAGCATGTGATCTTTAAATTTCTAATGCTTACCATGGCACAGTGCCTAACAGGTAGGTGTTTTAATAAATGTTTGCTAAATAGATGAATCTATCTAAAAAATTGTTGAGGGAATAAGCAAATGTCTATGAACTTAACAAATGCACTGATACAAATACATTAATCTCAACAGTTCAAAAAATGCATTGTAGTGCTAGGCCTACTAGGCTACAGCAATCATGTAGTGCTGTGGATACCACCTTCAAAATACCTCTTGACTCTATCTGTACCTCAGCCTGGGCAACACAACACAACCTCATCTCAAAAACTACAAAAGAAAATTTAAAAATGCAATGCACTGAAGTATGAACTACATTTAAACAAAACTCCAGGTTAAATATTTAAAGAATTATTTTTATACTTACAGATTTCCCTTCTGCCCAAATAACTGCTCCAACTCCTGTCTTATGGTCCTCTGCAAAATAAGATACTGAAATCAGTAACAATCAGTCATGTTAGTTTCAAAAATATTTTTTTTTCCAAAAATGAAGAAAACATATTTTTGGAGCATATATAGCAATTCTTGATATCTTCACCCATTATATGAAAGTGGGAAATAGTTCTGAGTATGGGATATGGGAACTAGGTACCAAATAAGTAGCCAAGGTCACTGCCCAGCTGTCACTCATGATGTACATGCAAAGACCACTAACATGGTAGGGGCTAAAGTCAGATCAATTCAAAGCAGTAACCAGAACTAAGTACAATCTCACTGACTCTCCACTAGCATGTCAGTTGCTAAATGACTATTTGTTTTTGTTTTTTGAGACAGGGTCTTGCCATGTAGTCCTTAAACTTCCAACAATCCTCCTGCCTCAGCCTCTCAAGACAAGGATTACAGGTATATGCCACCATGCCTGATTCTTTTTTTAAAATAAATTTTATTTTATTTTAAATGAACATTTCTTAGAATTGATGAAATTGAACATTTTTTTCTTTTTTTGGCACTGGGAATTGAACCCAGGACCTTGAGCTTGTGAGGCAGGTGGCAGCACCACTGAGCTAAATCCCCAGCCCTGAAATTGAATTTTTAAAAAAGTTTCGGAACTAATGGATTTAGTGCAATAACCATTCACAACCATCAAATTTGTCTATCATTTCTTACATTCTAATTATGGAAATACATTTTATGGAAATGTTCTTGATGAAAAGTAATAGAAACATAAAGTATTATGAACCTTCATATCTATTGCTGAAAGGTACATTAAGGGAATTTTGACCTAAACAAAATGCTGCCCTTTCCATGACCTTCATAGTTTACTGTGAGGGGGAAAGGATGCCAAGTCAGTCTCATCACATGCTCACTTCTGAGTCAAGCAGAAGAAGTTCTAGGCATAAGATTATAGTTTTCCCACAAAGCCGAAACATTTGGAACAAGTAAAACTAACTTCTAAAAACAATCTGAAACAGAAAACTTAAAAACAAAACAAAATAAAATAAAAATTCTACATATTAAGGATCTACTTTTCCCAAGTTTCAAATTTCGAGGACAAATATACACTAATTATGAAAACCTCCACATTAATCAAAATTATAAGGGACTAATGTGGTTAAATAGGTACATTTACATAAAGAAAATAAGAGTCATCTGTGAATTTACCCTAGGCCATTTTCATACTGGTGAAGATTAAGTGAAATTGCCACTGACCTCTATAATTTCCTAAAAGTTAATCAAATATTTGTTTTTTGTACCAGGGATTGAACTCAGGACCTTGCACTTGTGAGGCAGGCATGGCACCATCAAGCTAAATTCCCGGTTCCAAAGTATCACATATGTAAATACCAACTTTTTCAGTAAAAGTATAAAGAAAGTTTGTGTCACTATTAAAAAGTAGGATTAGGGCCAGGGATTTAGCTCAGTGGTTCTGCTGTCTACCTCACAAGTGCAAAGACCTGAGTTCAATTCCCAGTACCAAAAAAAAAAAGCAACAACAACAAAAAACTAGGATTAAAAACCTATCAATATGTTAATTTTTTTAAAAGTTATGATAATGCAAGGAAAATTTCCATCTTCAGTTCAAGCATGCTCAGGCTTTCAATATATACACACTACAAATCATTTGTATATATATATATATTTTTTTTTTAACCTAAAGATGAACCAGCTAAATTTTTCATTTCTAGATAAGAAAGCACACATAGAAATTAAGTGACTACAATTTAGCCTCCCAAGCTCTTTCCTCCACCTCTTGCTTTGACTTTAAGAATTCCAAAATACAGATTTGCATTCACTGAGTGCCCCAATGTGCCAAGTATTATGAGAAACTTAATGTTCAATGGTGAGGGAAACATTGGTCCCCACCCTCATGCAACTTACAGCTGGATGAGGCGGGAGGACAGTGACGAGGAAACACTACATGTGTGCTGTGCTCTGAAGTTGAACATGATACTGAGGGGCAGAGTATACACAACGACTGGCTTCTGTAGTGTGGAGGGAAAGAGATTTTGGTGTAAACAAAATTTTGCTTCTTCCTAGATCTTTAGAATTTAATATGCAGGGAAAAGAATATAAATCAATAGCTTTAGCTCAATTTCCAAGGCAAGTGGTAGAAATTATAAACATTAGATTATATTTGCCCACAAAACCAAAACTTTAGTAAAGTTGTACTCAATATGTACATAATTCAGAAAGAAAAAAGACAAAAAACTTTACAAATTGTTCATACTGAGTCCACTTTTCCTACAACAACCCCACATTTTTTTTTAATTATGTTTTTAGTCTCAGGAACCACTTTTTCTGTTTTTCTGGGGACAAGCTAAATCTTGTCAGGATGTGTTTTCACATCAACAGACATCTCTACTGCCGAGCAAGAGAATATTTGTTACCACCTCTCCTTTCAAACAAGGATAACTTTTTAATCCATATAAAACAGGGTCAATTCACAAGCCCCAAGTCTAGTGACATTTTATTTCTCAAAAATCTTTTTAGATCAGTAATTCTTACAAAAAATGCTCCCCATGATCTGGTTATTCATTGGGTTTTCTCTGTACAACTTTGAAGGAAAAATGACCACTCAGTCAATTCCTGGGTTCTTTGATCACTGCAAGTTAGAGGACTCTTTAGCCCATGGTTCTGGAACACAGGTATGTTTATTTTAGCCCCCTATCCTCTGGTCACATCAGTGACCACATGTTACACAGACCATCTGAATCCAAACTGCTGGGTGCTTATTTTAACAGCCAAACTATTGGTACCTAGGGGGGCCCCTAAATTGACCTGAGAAAGGCTCAGGAATCTGCATTTCTCCCAGCTAACCCCTGAATCTTAATCACACTAAAAACAAGTGAGTTATGCTTTCAAACAGTTAACACTGGCTGCTGCAGCCTAATTTCATTACTAACACTGTGATCCAGGAGGAAGGCATAATATTTAACTTTGGAAAGCACCTCATCTAATGGGAAAATAGGAAAAAGAGATAACAACTTGACATTTAAGCCAGGTAGACATGATGGGATGCCCTCTTATCTTTTCCCCATAAGAGTATAATCACATTTGTCCTTTTTTGCTACCTTTAATTATCCAACAAACTATTTTTAACAACATGCCTGTAGATCCTCCTTATCATTCAAAAATTTGTTTTAGAACTTTGTTGCTAGAAGTTGTAAAATTCAATCTAATAATATGCATATTTAAAAATGTAATGGTTTCATGAAATTGTATCTTCCCTTAATAAGGGAAAATATAGTTGAATAGTCAAATCAAATTGAATAGTCATACCTTGTTACACAAGTGTTTTGAAACTGGTTGAATCTGATAATCATTGCAGTTTGATGCAACACTTTTGTCCCAGTACTCATCCTTTGTTTGGCAGTAGCTGCTCAAGCTAGAGCTTGTCAGTACTGATTCTCTCTTGACTGGCTGCCTCTTCCAGTCAAAAAAATCTGTTTTGGTATTTGTAGTTTGTCTCCAGAAACCAATTAATGGGGTGTACAAAGATACCACTATAGTGCGAGCTTAAACTTGAGTAATTAGAAGTGCATTATATCATAAAGATATTCACTGGGCTGGCTAGTCTCCAATTTTAAACAAGATATGTATACAAATCACCCAGCTTAGTGCCTGACACATACCAGTAAGGGCTCAATAAATTATCATTATAAATTATCAATGAAGAATTATAGGTACAAAGTCCCTTATCTGGAATCCTTTGAATCAACTTTTTTCAATAGTCTGATGCACTGATTTATAGCCAATCCTGACCCAAATTGTTACTCATAGCATCCCTTAATAATCTCTCTCTCTCTCTCTCTCTCTCTCTCTCTCTCTCTCTCTCTCTCTCTCTCATAATATTTATGTAGAAATAGAGTAGACCAAAGGAAAAGACTGGAAATCCAAAATAGACCCAATTCACATGTGAATTGTGGGGGTACTTGGAATTTAGCTCATTGGTAGAGTACTTGCTTAACATGTATAAGGCTCTAGGTCTGATCCCAAGCACCACCAAAGAGAAAACATTTGTATTTTTAAGTGTTCTGCTTAGTACAAATATTCACAAATTTTACTCCATATGTATTGTTTGATTACAGGTATTGTCCTAAACCTAAGAGTATTATATAGCCAGTATATGCATTGTATTACCTTCTTAAAATCTGAAAAATTCTGAATTTCTTTTCATTTGGCCTCGTGGGTTTTGGAATAAGAATTGTGAACCATTTGTCTTTTGGTATAGATTTGCATTCAACACACACTGATTAGTGCTAAGGAAAAAAATATGATTAGATGATTTCTTCCCTGGAAGAGTTCAGAGTGGAGCACAAATAGTTGAGTTGCATCCTATGCAAGATTTGAGTCCCAGGCAAGAAATATCCATTGTAAAAAAATAACCCTTGAAAAATCTCTTAAATTGTCCATCAAGTGCCTAAGCATAGCTTTATGTATCAATCTTTAAACAGTAATAGTAGATAAACTTATAATTCAAACTATATATAGTAGTATATCTAGTAAGACATACACATGCAAATTTATCCCTATACATACAGCAATCTAAAAAATGGAATCACAGATGGGAAGATGAGATGGTCTATGAGAATCAAGAGTTACTGAGATCAAGTAAAACAGCAGGTGCAAATCTCCCATTTTACTCTGGAATACAGGCAGAAGTCTGCTGAATTCTGATTACCAAGGAGAAAACTTTTCTGTGGTTTTTTCCAGAATGGTTTACAGAAAATTTCTTTACAAAGTTGATACAAAGAGAGCAATGTGTAACCCATGATACAAGAAGATTTGAGCAGGACATGGTGGCACACACCTGTAACCCCAGTACTCTGGAAAGTGAAGGCAGAAGGATTGCAAATTCTAGCCCAACCTGGGCAAGTTAGTGACTTAGCGAGACCCTGTCTCAAAATTTTTAAAAAGGGGGCTGGGGTAGGGGATATAGCTCATTGTGAAAGCCCTTGGTCCACTCCCTAGTACTGTAAAAATAATTTTTTAATTAAGTCAGGCTCGTATGCAATTGTTTAGGGTCATATAGTTCATACTTATAGAATCAAACTCTTTATAGAATTAAGTGATTATTAATCTTGTTGAATGTCATACTTTGATTCTTAAAAATCATAGGTCTAGGCCACAGTTAAATAGCTCTGGGTGGAGGACTAAGCGTCTTTATTAAAATTTCCATGGTGATTCTTATATGCTGTCAGTTGAGATCTTCCATTCTGCTGACTTTACTTTGAGGATATTTTTATTGTTTATTTGTTATTGTTATTTGTCATTTGTTAAGAATAAACTATAGAGGGCCAGGGATTTAGCTCAGTGGTTCTGCCGCCTGCCTCACAAGTACAAGGACCTGAGTTCAATTCCCGATACCAAAAAAAAAAAAAAAAAAAAAAAAAGAATACACTATAGAAGTGGTACCTTCATAGAGATTTTCTGATTTTCCTTCTCTTTCTTTTTTGGGATAACAATCTTATTCTACTGCTGTCCTGCCTATATTTTTCCTAGTTATTTCAAGGTTGAATATTAAAAAGTGATTACAATTCTACTTTCAACACAAATCACACCTGGTAAGATGTGAAAATATTGTTTCATAATTAGAAATACAGATGCAATATTTTTAAACAATAAATAGACCCAAGTAATATTTTCATTTTCCACATGCCCAATATAATAAATAAAAATATTTGATTTTTCAGCTTGCTGATTGAGACAAACCAGCAATTAGAAGACTCTATAATACTCAACATGCATTTACTTTGATATTCTTTAGTTATTTTGAATTTTTTTTTTTTTTTTTTTTTTTAATTTTTTTTTTTTTTTTTTTTTTGGTTTTTTTGAGACAGGGTCTCACTATGTAGTTGAGACTGATCTGGAACTCACTATGTAGCCCAGGTTGGTCTCGAACACACAGCAATCCTCCTGCCCCAGCCTCCCGAGTGCTGGGATTACAGGCGTGAGCCACCACGCCCAGCTAGTTATTTTGAATTTTAATTTTAGAGAATTTCAAAGTTTTTATTGAAGACATATAAAATTATTAGAGTTAATAAAAAATAAATGACTTTAGTTTTCACTTGTCTTTTTATCCCATCTTTAGTGGAGAGCTCAATGACCCATGAAGTCCATAAATGCAAGCAGAAAGTAGGGCTTAGATAATCTGGCTCAGAATTATAAATGCAGTGCTGAATAGAAGGCCACTAGGAGTGCCAAAGTTGCTCAAAGAAAGTTTCCTACACAGCGTCTTACTAATTTCTCTACATTGTATGAGCAGGAAAACTTTAAACGAACTCTACCACAGATAAGAAAAACATCACTTTACTACTGAGACAAATACAACCAAACCAATCAGTCTCAATTTATGAACTAAGCATTTAACTCACCAGTTCGATATGCCAAAAGCCTGGCCTGAACCATGCAGTGCCTTGCAATTTCTTGTGGCAAACTTTGATTGTGAATTTCATTAATCTGTTCTGGATTGCTACTGTAGAATCCAAAGTGTTTAAAGTTGGGCACACTGGAAGCTACAGTGGCCAAAAGGAGGATAAGGTCTTTCATGTTTTCCCTTAAATTGCTAAAGTATGGATTTTCACACAGGTTCTCCAGACCTATAGTCATCAGTATTTGCTTATGCTTTTCTTCATTTGAAACCAAAAATACCATTTCATATTCTTTTATTCTTTCTTGTTTACATTCAGAATAAAAGTCAATGTTAGCATCTGGCACTGTTTTTGCAATTTTTTGAATAAAGTCACATTTGTAAGAAGACTCCTCTACAAACTGCACCATATAACACACCAAAGGCTGGAGTAAAACACACACATGGGCTCGGCTGTTTGACTTCAATCTTTCCACTGCTTTGGCATCTAATTTTGCATCTTCAGAACTAGAAGCCTCAGTAAGCAAGCTTATTTCTGGATCAGCAGGCCAATATGAAATTCGGTTAACTCCAGCTGAAATACAAAATATAAAAGGTAATTAACTGATACATGCTGCCGAATTTAGTTTTCTTGAGAAATTCACCCCATTGTTTCAGTAAACCAAGAGGATCCAATATAATAAATGTCTATTATTAAGTCACCTATTACACAATCTGAGGGTTGATAAATAACTACCCATAGGCCAAACCCAATCCATTGCCAATTTTTGTACAGCTCACGGGTCAAAAATGGATTTTTTTTTTTCTTTTGGTGGTGCTAGGGATTGAACTGAGGGCTCCATGCACGTCCAACAAGTACTCTATCACCAAGGTGCAGCCCCAGTCCTACATTTTTAATAATTGGAAAAATCAAAAGAATATTTCATTACACGTGAAATTATGAAAAATTCAAACTTCAGTGTCAACAAATAGTTTTATGAAGACACACCCACTCAATTACACAGTCCTTGTTCCCTTTGTATGGCAGATTTGAATAGCTGCAACAGCTACTATATGGTCTGCAAAACCTAAAATGTCTACTCTCTGAAATTTTCAAGAAAAAGTCAACCAACCTCTGGTAGAGCCCAAGGGAAAGCATTTGTGGAATCACTGATTTTGCTATGTGTAGTCCCAAAGCCCAGTATTGAAACTATATACCAATACCTTCCATGGCACCATTGCTGCTGTCAGAATGCTACAGCCAAAACTTGCTATTGTCTAGAGTTTTTTATCTGAAGTATACAATTCATCTCTGCATTTAAAATGTTCCTGTCTGTAACTCAAAATTTTTTAGAAAGTCATTCTAAGAAATATTCTAAAGAGAGAGAGAAAAAAATATATATATACATATTTTTTAAAGTCAACATTCTTGAGGGGTTTGTTTTTTGGGGGATTGAACCTGGGGCCTTAGCACCAAGTTACAATCCCAGAATGTAAAAAAAAAATTTTTTTTCTTAAATTTTGAGACAGGGTATTAAGTCACTAGCTAGTCAGAATTCTTTAAAATATATATATTTTAAAAGCTAGATGACCAACACAGGGGAATGATTAAGCAAATTATTGTACTTTTCATCAAAATTGTCTACAAAGTGTAAAATGGAAAAATTATTATATGAGGCTGGTGTCATGGGGATAGGGCAATATCATTATTATTATTGTTATTATTGTATTTTTGGTAGCAGTGGGGATTGAACCCAGAACCTTTGTGCTAAACTATATCCTCAGTCCTTTATTTTTTTATTTTGAGACAAGGTTTCACTAAAGTTGCCCAGTTCCGGCTCAAATTTGCAATTTTCTGCCTTAGCCTCCTCACTGCTACGATTATAGGTGTGTGTCTCCATGCCTGGCTAAATATTATTTTTAAAAAGCCTACAACTGTGAGATAAAACAAACTAAACAAACATTGTTTAATGAATGTGACAGAGGAAAAGTTGGTAATCTTTAATATACAGAAAAGATTTTAATTCATTGAGAATACATAGGAATTGAACAATAATGCCTTAAGGGAGAGAAAAAGATATGAACAGACAATTCAAAAGAGAAATATAACGAAAAAAAATATGAAAAAATAATTAGTATTTGAGGTTCAACAATAAAGATGCTTTATACATAAATATCCAGGTGTTTCTCCTTTAATGAATAGTTTACAACAGAGACCTTTTTTGTTAGTATCTTCTAATTTCAGCTTTGACTTTGTGATTGTGTCCTGAAACAAACAGAACATCCACAGGGTGCTACACTCCTCTAAGTAATATATGAACTAAAACTTAAAAGTTAAACACATTTCTATCTACTCCCTGCTACTCCTGAATCACTGTGCTTTGGACTGCAAAGCAGCTTTGAAGGCGTCAAAGCTCAGGTCAGAGTGTTTCTCTGGGCTGTGTTTCATCTTTCCTCTGTTAAGAATTCTCTATTTCCTAACCAGCAGTGATGGTAAACCTTTTATCAAAGCAGTTCAGTTATTCCTAGTAATCCTGATTCAAGAAAAAAGGCAAATGCTATAGCAGAGGTTCCAAAGTTTTCTGGTCTTAGGATTCCCTAATATTCTTAAATTTTTTTCTTTCTAAAGACACTGTTTTGTTTTTTGCTTATCGAAAAATGTGCAGAGCACAGTGACTACTAGTGGTTTGGTACCACTGCTTTGCTTCATGTTGCAGCACTGGTAGTTTACTCACCATTGTCTTGTTACCATTACTGTGACTGTATTATTATTTTGAAAATAGTGTTCACCTCAAGTACTATCAGGAGGATACACTTTGAGAACCACTATGCTAGGAAATGTTTTGTTTAACTGAGGCAGTAGTGGTTGTTAACTCAAGGGATTCAGCTACAGCATGAATTCAATCATGCCCCTTCCCAACATAACTAAATAATGCGTAAGCCTCAACTAACAGGGCAATTTTATTTATATACAGGTCTAACACCAACATAAATGCATTTCCATGTTAGGTTCTTCCTAATCTTCCAGACTTCATTTTCTCTCTTGCTAGGTTGAAATGCCTTACAGATACCAAGCAGCAGTGTGACCTGAACTCCCTACTCTTCTAATTCTTAGCTCCAAGGTGATTAAGATACATTAAACATGGGCAGCTTGGGGTAAAACACAGCCATCTTTCATTCATCTTTCTCTGATTCTAGAACAGATCAAAAAATGTTTTGCTTCTTCCACATTCTTTCTTTTCTATATTAATACTGCCATCTGAATCCTATTTTATACCCCAACTAATACAATAGTCTATTAATTAAGTTCTCAATTTCTAAGTTCTCCCTGTGCCAATTCAGTGACAAAAAAATTATCAATCATCTTACATCCTGCTCAAAAATCTTCAGTGGCTCTACGTTACCTATGATAAGACTTGGAAGTCCACTTAACAAAAGCATGATTGGCCAATCTGCTTGATTAACTAGGAAAAGGAAAAAAATGCATACCACTATGATATCTATTTTATCTATTAGGAACTACAGAATCGAGTCAATGCCATAGATATCTATCTGCTTGAAATGCTTATTGTAGGCCTGGAAGCTTCTACTGCATGGCCCTCTCCTGAAGTTTTATATGTAGTTCAACACATCAACCTCAATACAAATGTGGTCAGTACTTATAAGACTTGGATGTAAATAAAAAATAGCTTCTGAAAAACAGGTCTAGGAACTCAGTTTCATAAGATAAAGCCCAGAGGCTATACAGCTTTTCAGAGTTCTCCACCACAGCCTCAATTTATCATTATAATCCATCTGCTTTTACTCTAAGAATAATCTTCCATTTCAAACACTAAACCTCACTCCTTACAACTGGATGATTCTAGGTGTACTGTTGCTCCCAAACAAGCAATATCTCCTCCTCTATCTACCAGAAACTTTAAGATTCAGCTTAAGCCCCATTTTTTGTAGTATGACAACCTGCAGGATCACTGTTCCTTCTGGGAGATCATGTATTACTTACAGCCTGCATCACTTATTTGGTACTCAATGATGTGTTACATTAAGATGTTCTTGTTCCCAAGTAACATGGGCTAGGAACCATATAAGCTTTTTGTCTTTTTTTTTTTCCTTTAGCCACTAGAGTGCTCATGCTCAAGATACATATTTTAAAGTGATAGAGTGGTCCGCAAATGTACCTGGTTGCAAAACAGAATCAAAAGCACAGATAAACATAGTACTACGTGAGAAGAGTGGACAGCTACACAATAAAAAATTGTGTTCCCTTCCGAATAATAGTCATTGGGAGGTAGATATCCAACCAGGGCCTATAGTTTTCACAGTGGAAAAGAACAGAAATGATATATGTGACTTTCAGGCTAGATTTTGTTTCTTTTTCCTGTGGCACTGGGGATCAAGCCCATGACCTCGAATATGCTATAGAAGTGCTCCTATCACTTGAACTGTATTCCTATCATCCCCAGGCCAAGGTTTTTAAGAAGGTTTGCCTTTTCTTCTTTTTCTCAGGCTGCCTCTGAATGCAGAGGACTCAAGCAAGGCTTCAGGAATGACAACAGCAGAAGATAGAAGATGCTTGAGCCCATGACTCAATCACATGAACAAAAGCTGCCTGCTACTCAGCAGCACCTGCATTAGACTATTACAGGGGTGATATCTACTGTATTAAACCCACTGAAATTCTGGGATTTCTTTGAGATAGTAGCTAGCATTAGTATGCTAATTCACTGAGGGTATTTAGATGATTAGTGAGCAGAGCTGAGACCAGAATCTGAGACCATGTTTTCTAAATCTTCCTCTTATAAAGTGTCAAATTTGTCTTCAGACATTTATATTTCCAAATTATCTCTGTGTCCCTCTGTCTGCTCTTAGATAAAAGTACTTAATCCCCAACAAAGCCTTATCTGCACTTACCATTTACAATCATTTTCAAACAAGCAGAACATGGTTTTCTGGAAAAATAAAGATCACAGTTTTTCAGCCTTGACCCATGTTTAATAAGAGCAATTTGCCCAGCATGTAAATCTTCACTAGAACAATGGAGACCAACAATTTTCATGTTTTTCACCACCACAAGACCAGTTTTCTTCACCTATATTAAAACACAAAATATTATTAATGTTAATTAATGATATAACATCTCATATCATGCATAATAGTTCTTTAATAAAATATTTAGTTCTCTGTGTGTATCTAATTATCCAAACAGAGTTTGTACAGATGCACATATCTCATTAGGTCTAAAAGACTGTCTTATACTTTTGTGCTGACTTTAGATGAGAAATTTTCAAGACTGAGGCTTTCCAAACCCAACAACTGTATAATTAGCATTACTTGGTTCTAGTGAAAGATATACATTTTAACATAGTAAAGGGCAAGAGCCAAGTCAGTTTGATTTGCTTCTTATAGCATAGAATTCAGGCCTATTTAAATTTCTAGATGATAAAAAAGAAAAATCAGAAAAAACTTTTTTTACATATGGATAAATCAAGCCCAAAGAGTTCACATGACTTTTTTTTTTTTGAAGCAACCTTTGAGTTAACCTTCTTTTGGAATAATATTACATACTCAGCCTCATTATTCTTTAAATTTTCAAAACTGATCTAAATATTTTCTGTGGTGAATGAAGCTTTGTCCTATTCTGGTAATGGTGGTTACCACTGAACTGCTTCCTGTGCCACTTCTTTAAGTTTCTTCTTAAAATCCCTGCTGGTTTTCTTATAGAAATAAAGGTCTTTTTCCAACTGCTGTCACATAACTTTCTGAAAGATTCACACAAGGTAAAAGGCAGAACTACAGCAGAGATCATCTCAAATTCTATTTTTAAATTTAAATTTAAATTTTTTACCAGTAACATCTTTGTTCTCCCAGTACTCCCAGAAATGGGAAAATCCATGAATTCCTCTAAAAACAAAGATGAAAAGCAATATCCTGGAAGACTTGTTCTTTTCTCTCTTGTGAGCTGTTTTTACTGTGATGGTCACACTGGTCTGTGGGCTCTGTGGAGCTGCCTCTTAGCAGATGCTCATGTGTTACACCCAGAGTATGTATGACACAAACTGTCTCTTGGGAAGCGAGTTGGATAAGCACAAGTGTTGATGTATCTGGTACACTTATATCACCAAAAAATATAATTATAAAAATAAAAAATTGCTTAAATTATCAAAAATGATAGCAGAACTCCTGTTACAACTATAAAAAGAGTCATCATCATAAAATGGAAGATACACTTTGTTTAAAATTAGTCTACATAAAAGAACCAATTGAATTTAGTGGTTTATGTTTAAAAAGCAAGATTCCTAATATTAAAAGATGCAAAAGCAGACTGTGAATGCTGGGATACTGCTTTAAAGAAAAGCAGCATTTGAAAATCAATCTAGCAAGATCCAAATGTGTAGCCACATTCTAATAATTTAGAAAAGCTCTACTAAATTTGGCTCAGGAAGGCAAACATTCTCTGTATGTCCTTTGCCTATTACATTTCTCTTAATAAAAGGAATTCCTTATTCTTTATGATCTCATCATTTAAAAAAAGCCAAGTTGGATTCTTGAAGAATCAATTCACAACATCCTAACCCATAGATTGCTCTGCTCAGACTCTTTCAATCTATTTCAACCCGCTTTCCTTCAGTTCGAAGCTCAGTCGTTATTTCACTTTGGAGTTCAACATCATGAATCAAGAAACAAAGATTTGCTCCCTAAAAAAAAAAAAAATCACAAATCTATTTTGTATGAAATCATTATGAACATACAAAATAATTTTAAAGGACTCTCAAAATGTCACAAAAGGTTAAATATCTTCAATTTCAACATACAAAAATGCACAAAGTAATTCTAATTTCTAGTCCTTATGTATGTATATAAAAGTGTTATCAAAACTTCCTAAACTTGCCAGGTGTGGTGGCACACACTTGAAATCCCAGCTCTCTGGAGGGTGAAGTAGGAGGATTGCCGTGAGTTTTTGGCCAACTTGTGTTACATAGTGAGTTCAAGGCCAGCCTGAACAGCATAGCACGACCCTGTCTCAAAAAACAACAGTAAAAAATTAATTCTATCTGTGGTGCCTTGGATTAGCTTGGTAGTCTCGGACAAGTTATTTAATTCCACATACTTCAATTCTACCATCAGTTAGCATTTCCCATTTATGTGTTCCATTCATGTGATATTAATCTCATAAAAAAGGGGTTCTATGGTCAAATTAAGTTAGAAACTGCAAAATTTCTTCCCTTTAGGAGAGTCACAATGTATATGAGCATCACTAAAAGCTCTAAAAAGTCCTGCAGTATACTGGTTTAATCTTGTATCAATCTTAGTTGACCTCAGAATCCTTCTACTGGCTAAAATTTTTTAGTATTCTGTGGATTATACTTTGCAAAACACTAGGGCAGCACTTCTCAGGTCTCATTTAGCACTAACAGTGAAGAAATTAAGGTAGTATAATGTAGTCTTGTGACACAGATTCAGGGGATTAAAACAGAATTTAGTTTCCTGGCACTGACAAGGCACCTGTCATATTTATGGTTCTTTGAAAAGCAACGTTTCCATTGTTCCTAATGAAAGTCATTATTCAAGGAAAGTGGCAATGAGTGTCACAGAATCTTGGTGCTCACCTACAATACAATAGGTATCAGATTTTGCCAAGAATAGTAAATTCCCTTTCAATATAGGTTATTTCCCTTTCCATTATGGCTTAGTTTTCATCACAGCACGTACTTCTTCCAAGCTTCATTAGAGCAGTTCTGCACAATTTTAACAGTATCTTTGTCCTTTATTTGCTTCTTTGTCTAGAGTGAGGCCAACTCAAAGGGAGACTGCCAGGCTGTGGGCAGCCTTTATATTTTGTTATTACGAGCAAATCTGTCATTTTAAACATTACAAAAGTTCACCTGTTTTTTGTCAGTAGATACACTGGCCATCTCTTCATTATCTCCTGATGGTCCACAGTTTCCCTCTTCATTTTTCTAATTAAAACCAGTGAAAACAGAAAAACTCAGGCATCAGTTATGTTTGGAAGTGATTATAAGTTCATAATACACTAACGTTGGAGAAAACTACAATTTAAATGTCCAGTAAGAGGACAGAATAATTGATACAAAAGCAACTTATTAAAATCATAATAAAAGAACACATAGCACACACCATAAGCCATGCCACTTAGAGCTTTATACAAATTAATTCATTCCTTGCCCTTAAACATCTCATGTAGTATGTATTAGTATAAAAAGGAAGTTGACATAGAGGTAAATCAACTTGTCCCAAAGTATACAGTTGGTAGGAGATGGACCAGGAATTGAACCAGGCAAGCTGGCCTCAAAACCAAAAAACTGGCTACTTTTACCTAGGGTAAGTTGCTGCCTTACTGTTTATAATAATATCTCAACATATGTATTTTCTTATATCAACTGAAAAGGTTAGGATCTATAATCAAATGATCTCAAATGAGTAAAAGAAGAAAGACTGAGAATTAATACAAAAATGTTAGTCTTTAGATAGTAGAAATATGAAGAATTATTTTCTTTTGTCCACTTTGCAAATGATGGGTATATATTATTTTGTTAACTTACGAACACTTTTAAAATGACAAAATGCTGATAAAAATGTCAAAAGCAGTATTTCCAATACAATTACATGTCAAGTTGCATTCTGGAACTTTCTGTGACTTACTTTGTATAGTGAAGGCAGAATACAGAATTGAAGCGAAATAATCTTATTACTTTACTTTAGCTTAAAAAACATTTTTTCCTAATAGATATTTGTAACTTATGGTGGTAAAAGCTCATTTTTCCAATCTAAAAATAGAAGTCATTCTCCTATGCTGTGCCACATTTATTGTGTATATAGTATTTCTATGTTGGTTAGGTCAATAAGATTATTGACTGTACCATATAGTTTATCACCCAGTTTTATATTGTTGATGTTTACATTCTAGGAAAACTATATGCAATTAAACTGGAAAAATTATACTACAGTGAGTGGTAAAGAAATAGATGTATACATTTCCATTATATTGATTTTTATGATTGTTCTTAATATACATTTCTAACCTGCTTAGATCATCTGAGATTTTAAAAAAAGGACTTACATAGAATAAGAAACCTGATTAGCAATCAGTAGATTAACTGTTAATAATAGTTTATTTCAAAGGAGATACTAAGATAAAAAAGACATGCTTTCTAATTTAAACAATTTACAGGTCAGTGAGAGAGGGAAAAATGACCTAGACAAAACACCAACAATATACAATTGGATAATAAATTATGTGATATTGACAATAATCTTATTGGCCTAACATATAAATACCATACAACTAATAAACATGGCACAGTCTGAGTGACTACTCTGTTTTTAGATTGGAAAGATGAGCTGTTAGCACTGTGAGTTACAAGTATCAACTAAACCATAAAAGTTTTCTCAAATCTTAAGACTTGCCGAATTTGGTTTTAAGTGTGACTGCAACTAGAACGATACAGGTCACTGCTTTGCTAAGGGTAAGAACTAACGATGGAAACAAATTATACCTGAGATTTTTGTCTTTGGGCTTCTGCTCCTGGAAAGAGCTCCATCCACAGACTGAGCAGAGTGAAGAGGTTGACTTTAGAAAGCCTTGGTATTTGACCTACAAAAGGGAGGGCAAATACTTCAGGATTTTACTGGTAATGAAAAAAGGAATTAAACTCAAAATCATTTGGGTGCTGCAATCTTAGATCGGCAGCTTTAGCAGAAGACAGACAAAATGGAACAGCAGACAAGAGAATCACAGCTTTTTTAGAAGCAAACGCTAGTTTCCCTTGCGGTGACCTCCTAAGGCACTTCGCAAATTTAGGACCTTTTTCCAGCACTCACCCAACACACACACACAAAACAATAATAATAATAATAATAATAATAATAATAATAATAATAATAATAATAATAATAATAATAACAACAACACAACTGAGGCACGTCCCTATGGAGACGACCCAATGAACGTTGGGAAAGTCCTTGCATCTGACGTCGTGGTGGTGCAAGTATATTTTTAGTTTGTGTTGCGGTGTTGCTGCGTGATTAGGGGCACTGCCTAAAAGTGCTTCGACTGTGAAGGGTCATGTGCCTTTAATGTGGAAATTAAGGCAAAAGCCTAACTTGGGAAACTTTTTAGGTTCTTTAACCCCGAGATGTCTCCTCTCGGGCCAGCAAGGTATAGGGGGCCAACGAGTACTTTAAAAACCGGGGTAGTCGGGCGCTGTGGCGCATGGGGGTAATCCCAGCACTCTGGGAGGCTGAGGCAGGAGGATCTCAAGTTCGAGGCCCAGCCTGGGCAATTCAGCGAGACGCCGCTCCCATTAAAAAAAAAAAAAAAAAAAAAAAATCTGGATGTAGCATAGAGCGAAAACTCAGGGTTCAATCCCAAATACCGAGAAAGGAAGTGGGTGGGGGGCAGGTAACATTCGTGAGGTGAGGTCCCCGTAGCAGAGGTGGGGATGCGCCCACAGCGGGTATGAGACACCTAGGGGCCGCAGAGCACACGAAGTAGGGAGTGCGGGGAACCCTCAACTGCGGGAGAAGCGCAGGGCAGAGCGCATGGGGGGCAGAAGCAGGGTTTCAGGCACTCACCCGTCATGCTGCCAGTCTGGGTGCTGACTGACCGCCCAGCGCACACGCTCTCCAGATTTTGCATCTGCCCTGCTTCTTTCATCCAAGCCTAGTGGCCTCTGCTGACCAAGAAATCTGTCCCTGTCAGGCATGATCCTGACAGAGCGACTCGGCTGTAGGCACCCCCTAGCAACAGATAAGCAACGGCCAGCTCGGCGCAGCCAGATGACGTCTGAAGCCCGACAGTCGCCGCCACGCGCCTTCTGTGACGTCAGAGCGAGCCGTGGACCCCGCTGTTCACAGACGCCGAGGCGAGGCTGTGTGAAATCCTGCGTGAATCTCCTGCCGCCTCGTGGTGCTCATTGATTTTTAACAGAATCGGGTCACCTGAGGATTTCTCGGTTTGAGGTCCCAGGTTGGGCAGAATGGTACGGTTATGATTGTACAGAGTTAAGAATTTTGGTCAGAGAGCGGAAGAACTTCGTCGAAGTGGAAACCTGCTGGGTTCTGTCTAGAGAACGTGAGGGGCGGCGGACGGGAACTGGCGGCCGCGACGCTGCCATCCTCTGCTGTCGGTCACCGCTCACCTCTCGGGAACTGGGTGCCACTGAGCGCCGTGGGGCCGCTCTGCTTCTTACCCGAGACGCGAACACTTTAAGAGACGGAACTGTAGTTGGGGGAAAAGTGTGAGGAGGAGGAAGTAACAAGTGGCCTTCGGGAATTCTGAGAAGTAGGCTTTGTGAGTTTGTGCCAAGTAACTTTTTTTTTTTTTCTTTTTCCGTTCTCTGTGCTGGGCATTGAAGCCAGTACAGGGTTCCTAGGTAAGCATGGCACCACTAAGCTATATCCCCAGGCCTTTTTAGTTTTATGTATTTCTTTATATTGTGAGACAGGAACTTGTTCACTTGCTCAGGGTGGGCTGGAACTTATTATCCTGCCGCCACCACTCCTCAAGGGCGGAGTACTTTTTATGGAAATGTCCCAGGCCTAACTCGCAACGAAGCCCCTCCCTCCCCAGTGACTCAGAACCCAGTTTCCATCACCAACTCATGTTACCAAAATTTGAAGTACTGACAATCACAAGAAACTGCTCTCAGACTATGGTAGCAAAAGCTGAACGTTATGAAAACACATCGTTTTGAAAGTACTGAAATGATAATTAGTGTTGCTGGTATGACTGTGATTCATTATTCTTTATAAGTATTCAACTATGTTATATACCACAATTTGATTAAAAGAGCATTTGGATCATTTGCAGGTTTGTGCTGTTGCAAACAAAAATGCTTCTATAAATACTTTCATATATATATCATGTTTACACACATGAATTTTTTAGGAGCCATATTTAGAATATAATTCTTGGGTTTTTATTATTGAGTTTACTGGACAATGCTGAAATGTTTTCCAAAGGGATTGAACCAATTACATAGTTCTACATTCCCATCAATATTTGCATATGTCAGAACTTATCAAAGTGTACACTTTACATAAGTGCACTTTATTGTATGTCAATTATACCTTAATAAAGTGGTTTTACTTTAAATAAAAATTCTTGGTATTGCTAGACTTCTAATTCTTGTCAATTTAGTTGATACACAATGATCTTGCTGGGTGCTATGGTGTCGGTCTATAAACCCAGCTCCTCCGGAGACTGAGGTAGGAAGATTGCAAGTTTAAATCTGCCTTAGCACCTGAGACCCTATCTCAAAATTTTAAAAAGGTGTAGGAGTGGGAGTGTAACTCAATGGTAGAGTAGTTGCCTACAGTGTACAAGGCCCTAGGTTCTATTGCCAAAGAAAATAAAATAGAAGAGAAAAAATATTTTGTGATTTTACTTTCCCTTATTTCTACTTAGTTTGAACATCTTATCATATGCTGATTGACTGTACATGTTTTCTCTGTAAAATGCTAGTTATTTTTCCTAACATTCTTATTTTCTTTTGATTGGTAAGTATTATTTAGATTCTGGATAATCATTTTCAGCTGGGCATATATATACACTGGTAGCCATCATCTGCCCATTTCAATTTGCTTTTTCACTTTCTATTGATGTCTTTTAATGCACAGTTCTTTATTATGTCAAATACACTAGTAATTTTAGTGGGTTTTAATCTTTGTACCCTTTAAAAATAACTCCTACTCAAGACTGTTTTGGGATGTGTGTGATGCTGGGGATTGAACTCAGGGCCTCACACATGCTAAGCAAGTGCTCCATCTCTGAACTATATCCTTAGACCTAAAGGTACTCTTATATTTTCCTCTAAAAATCATAAATTTTTCCTATTATGTTTAATCATTATATTAGTGTATAGTGTGAGGTAGATATCAATTTTTATTTTATTTTCAATGGCAGATAATTGATTATCCTAGCACTATTTTCTCATTTATTTGCAATGCCACTTCTTTCATGCCTCAGATTTCCAAATACATGTTAGTCCATTCTGCCCTTCACATCCTTACCTTCTTCAATCCTTAAAATTCCTGGCCATTTAATCTTCCATGTAAATTTAGGTTCCTATTGTCATATTTCTAAAAATACTCTACTTAAATATTGAATTTATGGATAAATTTGAGATATGTAGCTTTCCTATTCTTGCACATGGACATTTGCGTAAGCATAGTGTACTGGTTTTTTCACAAGGTTTTTCAAGAAGGTTCGTAAATTTTCTCTACAAAAATTATACATATGGGCTAGGAATTTAGCTCGGTGCTGTGCTGCAAGCACAAGGTCCTGAGTTCAATCGCCAGTACAAAAAAATTATATATGTATGTACAATTTAAGCTAGTATTTTAGTCATAAATGACATTTGAAAATTATATTCATAAGTATTTATGACTAATGAATGGAAATGTGATTTTATATATAAATCTTATATTGCGAAATCTTGCTAAACTAGTACTGATTCAGTTAATACTAGTATAGTTCTTTTTTTTTTTTTTTTTTTTTTGGTATTGGGGATTGAACTCAGGTCCTTGCGCTTGCAAGGCAGGCCACCGAACCGCTGAGCCAAATCCCCGGCCCTGATGCTAGCATAATTCTATTTATTTTTAATTTCTTTGTTTTCTAGACTAAAACTATATCATCTACAAATAATGATGATTTTATTTATGTCTTTCAAATCCTCAAATCTTTTCTCATTTTATTTTCTCACTGAACTCTAGTATCTCCAGGGAAATAATGAATAGAGGTAATGGTGCCAGGCATCCTTTCTTGTTCCTGAATTTAAAGAAAATGATTTTAATGATAAACCTTAAGGTATGGTTTTTTGCTGTAGCCTTTGAAACCTGTCCTTTATCAATTATACAAATTCCTTCCTATTTTTTAATTAGATGTTGAATTTATCAAATGATCATGGTTGATGACCTTTATGAATTTAAGAAAAGTCCTTTTTCTATAGGCTTGCTGAGAATTATCATAATAGATGTTGATTTATCCTGTATATCTGCTAAGATAACTTCATAGTTTTTCTTCTTCAATCAGATAATATGGTGTGTTATACTGGTAGACTGCTTAATGTTAAGTCACTTATGAGTTCCTGTGATAGACTGTTTGATTTGATGTTATTTTTTATTAATTGCTGGATTAAATTTGCAAAATTTTATTTAAGATGTTTGGATTTATGTTTATGAATGATTTAATGTATTATTTATCATGGTATATTTGGTTTTAATGGTTTGATTAGTCCAGCCTTATAAATGAGTAAAGAAGTTATTTCTTGTTTTTCTTTTCTTAGAAAGAGTTTATGTAGGATTGAAATTACTTCTTCCTAGAGTGTTCTTTCAAACTTGCTTGGAAAGCCATCTAGTGCTTTCTAAATGAGAAGACATTTTGTGACTAATTCTACATCTTTATGGGTTATAGACACACAGACTACCTCTTGGTCAGTTTTTGATAATTGATATACATTATATACGTGTGTGTGTATCTATAGATAGATATAGATACTTTTTTTTTTTGAGACAGGGTTTTATTTTGTAGTTCAGGCAACCTTGAACTCACTCTGTAGCCCAGGCTGGCTTCCAACTTGTGGCAGTCCTCCTGTCTCAGCCTTCTAAGTGCTGGGATTACAGGCATGTGCCACCATGCCTGGTTTATATATTTTTAAAACATAACTGGCATATATTTGTTCAAAATGTTTTCTCACTTTGTTTTATTTTTTGAGGCAGGGTCTCACTTTGTAGTTTGGGCTAGCCTCAAACTCTCAGCGATCCTCCTGCCTCAGCCTTCCGAGGGCTAGGTTTACAGGAGTGTGCGTCACCATACCTTGCTTTTTTTGCTATCTTTTTAACTGCTGTTAAAGTGTATGAATAGACAACACAACAAAATGGCTTCTGCAACATCAGGTGCCTGAGGGAAGGACTCAGCCCAAGGAGCTGCTTTGTGGTCTTAGGTGGTTTTGATGACGGCCAGGCTGTATTCTTGCAATGAAGAAAGGCTGTCCACATCAAAAGTTCTTCATAATGAACACGTCACCATCATTTCTCTCTCCTGGTCCATCATCTCTTATGAGATCTAGGTTGCTTTAGCCTCTACTTGGATCTGGAATTCTATCTTTGCATTCTGAAGGATAGTGGTCACATGAAGTCAAGTATACAAACAAAAATAGTGTGCCTTTGGACTGTCAAGACCAGAAAGCACCTGATTCACATATAGGAATCCGATATATTACAGAGGCCCTTATTAAAAAACTCATTCAACATTACAATTTGGCTTTGATAAAAATCACTGAAACTTTCACTTTCTAGAGATGGTGGCAAGAAATTTAGGTATATGGAGAATTGGGAAAAATATATTAAGCTTGAAGTGCTGAAAGCTATAATCAAATAGAAAAAATTGAGAATGTGGACAAGCAATTAAAATTATGAGAACTTGGGCCAGGGATTTAGCTCTGTCTTGCAAGCGCAAGGTCCTGAGTTTGATCCCTGGTATCAAAAACAAAAAATTATGAAAACTGAATTTATCATATAACAAAGTCAGCAAAAGCAAAGGCATAGAAAATCTGTTTAATCTGCGAAAGCTAACCCTTGAAGGAAATGAAATTGAGCATATTCCCATATGGTTAGGGAGAAAATTTAAATCTTTGCAGTCTTCAATCCTAAAGGCAACAAAATATCACTCCAGCAAATTGAAACCACTTCAAGATTTGACTTCTCTGATCATAGTTGAAAATCTAATTGTGACCATTCCTCATTACCTCCAGTTTATCATTTTCTACTTCTTTTCACTGGAAAGTTTGGAAAGTCAGCCAGTAACT